CACAGGTATGCGCTTACAAGATGAATTCCTCAATGGCGTAACTTGATGGCTTACATATATCACTACCGACGCGGTTGAATTTTTTTTCAACAAAAGTTCTGAAATTAAATATTTAGAGCGGCGATACACAACTTTGGCTAGAATGCGGAAGTCAACTAATTTAAATTTTTATTTTTAGCGAAAGTTTTTCAATAAAAGTGAGATTTCACTTGCAAATAAATTGGTTCAAAATCCGCTCGAATGACCAACAAAAATGGTAGAAGATATAGCAGATACTATGGTTTAAATGGTTCCTCATCCACTTGCAGACGACCAACAAAAATGAAACCAATTAGGAAGTAGATCTTCTTACCATTTAGAGCATCTTAAATCGTAATGATTTCCGACGTTGAAGGACCACCCACTTTACATGGGAAATAAAACCACAAGCGTTAACAATACTTAATTTAATGATTGATTTTTTACTACACTAAGTTGATTTCTAGCCAAGGGTTTGTCATGTAAAGTTCTTTTATGTAAACCGCCCGTCACTGTTCAAGCCACACAAGTCCGATAAACACTACACGAACACTGATACAATTTAAATTATACTAATACTACTTATTATTTTGAACCAAGGATATTTTTGCTGTGCTAACCAAGTAATATGCTACAATTATTACTAAGCGGAGTTATACAGAACTCAAACTAACAAAGAATCGACCCATTGGGTCTTAAACTAAATTTGTAAGTAAAGCGTCCAGCTTGGCTGGTATACAACGTGACACTTTGAATACTACAACGATACTGATCGATTGCCCTGCCTAACTACCACTGAGGGGTTTGAGGGGAACCGGTTCTCGCTTTCTAACAGGGAATTAGTCGGAGAATTTATCTAGGTAGATTTTAAGAATTATTAGCTATTTAATGCCAGTGGCGTAGCAACGCTTGGATACATTTCTTACTGAAATTTATCCAGATGGAAAAGACATTGCAAGCAACGGGCACCAGTTTGTGGCAGGCCTTAAGTGGCCAAGGGGTGCTAAGAATCTCCACGAAGAAAAACAATACAGGAGCAACCCGAAATTTGGAAAAATCTAAAAGCTAAAACTGGGTACTTGGAACGTTAAAAGTTTTTACACCGCCGATAAACTAGACAACATTATACAAAAAATGGAACGATGCGACCTAGACATCATAGGACTTAGAAAAATCAGATGGCGTAACAGTGGTAAATGTACTAAAGAAAAAGAGATACCTTATTACTCAGGAAATAACCTACCCCATCGTTATAAAGGAGTTGGATTTCTAGTTAACTTAGCCTCAAACAAATCGGTAAAGAACTTCGTGGTATACTCAGATAGAGCAGCACTACTACAAGTAAAAGTCAATACTGTTGACCTTAACATTATACAAATCTATGCACCAACCTTGGACAAGCCCAAAAATAAAGTAAAACAATTGTACAGAGATTAAGGACTTACTGAAACTGATCAAGAAGAACCAGACTCTTATAATCATGGGAAATTTTAATGCGAAGCTAGGGCGAGGACGCGTTGAAGATGTCGTGGGTGACTTTGGTTTAAGAGATCAAAACGAGAGAGGTAATATGCTAATCAAGTTCTGTCAAGAAGAAAAATTAGTCATTGCGAATACCTGTTACAAACTGCCACCTCGGAGGCTCTACACCTGGCAGTCTCTAAAACATGCGCATGACAACATCGTAAGAAATCAAATTGATTTTTTATTGATTAATTAGAAATAAAGAAATGGATTGCAAGAAGTAATAACGTACCCTGGAACAGATATCTGATCCCATCATAATCCCGTAGTAGGAAAATAAAAAATTAAGCTTAAGAGAATTAAAAGAAAATCCATAAAGAATATTGATATAAACAGCTTTAAACAACCTAACGTTAAACTAAGAGTCACAGAAAAATTAAATAAGGCAATGGCGGATTTGCTATTAAAATGCAATTGTATTAAAAAACGCTATCGGAACCATCACCAAGTCTCTAATCGCTTCCCAAACGTACAAAAAGAAGAATTGGATGACTGATGAAACGATCTACTTTAACATTAAAGAAACTACACACAGCAACTATACCCAGGCAAGACTAGAAGAAACTCTGAAAGTGAATATAAAACTAAATCCTCCCTCAAAATATTCAAGTAAGAAGTTGTAAGGGCAATCAAACAGAGCAAATGGGGAAAACCACCAGGCCCAGACGACATTACATAGAGGTTCTAACAATATTGAGTGAAGACAATATAGACGCCTTGGTAGATCTTTTTAATGACATTTATGTGTCCGGTCAAATACCACAGGATTGGCTTCAATCAACCTTTCTATTGATCCCAAAGAAGCCAAACGCTCATAGTTGCGACCAATTTTGAATGATTAGCCTATTGAGTAAGGTCTTAAATCTATTTTTAAAGATAGTTCACACAAGAATATACAACAGATGTAAAAGTGACATTAGCCCCACACAGTTCGGTTTCAGACAAGGATTTGGCACAAGAGAAGCACTTTAAAGCTTAACTGTCCTACTTCATAAATGTAGAGATCAGCAAAAAGTTGTCTTCGTATGCTTTATAGATTACCAGAAAACGTTCGATTGTGTTAATTGTTCAGAATTAGTAAGATTGCTTCAGGAACGTTCGATAGATAAGAATGACCTTAAAATCATAAAGAACCTTTATATGAATCAAGTGGCAACTGTGAAAGTAGAACTGGAATCTACATCATATTTCTCAATCGAAAAAGGTGTACGACAGGGTTCTGTGCTGTCACCCCTCCTGTTTAATCTTTACTCTGAAACGATTTTCGATAGAGCTTTAAGTGACACTCAAGATGGAATCAAAATCAACCGACAGACGCTATGCTAATGATACAGTCATAATAGCTGATAGCCAAGAAGCGCTTCAACGACTAATGTAGAGAATAAACACTGAATGATAACGACTGGGCTTGAAGATTAACATAGACAAGACGAAGGTAATGGTGGTTAGTAGAACACGAAATATGCAATTAAATATAAGAGTAAACAATAAGAACATCCAAAAGGTCTCCAGGTTCAGATATCTCGGTAGTTGGATAACTGAAGATCTAGATCCAGATCTAGATACATAGCAGGATTAAGTAAGCCAGAACAGCATTTACTAATATGAAAACCTTGCTAAGCAACAGCATTCTTAACTTTACGCTTCGATATCGCTTTGTAAAATGTTACATTTACTCTATACTGCTATATGGTATAGAAACCTGGACCATAAAAGCCAATGTGATGAACCGATTGGAAGCCTTTGAAATGTGGGTATTTAGAAGACTACTTAAAGTTCCCTGGACAGATCACACCACAAATGTCGAAGTATTAAATCGGATGGGCAGAGAACAAGAACTGCTGCCAATAATAAAAAGAAGAAAAACTGGGTCATATATTTCTGGTTCATATATTTCGAAATTCCAAGTACCAGTTTTACAAGCTTATTATAGAAGGGAAGATAGAAGGAAAACGGGGCATCGGAAGAAAGAAATACTCATGGCTTAAAAACATAAGGGATTGGACCAACCTCAATGCCCATGCATTCTTAAGAGCCACACAAGATCGAGAGGAGTATGCCAGAATTGTCACCAACCTCCACTAATTTAATAGGGTACCATAAGAAGAAGAATTGAATGTAACCGCCAGAAAATGTAACATGTTAATTTTCCCAAAAGAATACAAAATGCATGGTTACAACAGCAAATTTACTGAGTTGTATAATAGAGCAATTGATGGAGTTTAAGTATCTAAGCTTCTAGCTACGGAAAGCTCAAAAGTGAAGAGAAAGATCAAGTAAATAGAGCAAACAGAGCCGCAGGCTGCCTAAATAAAACAATATGAAAAAATTAAAATATCGGGAAAGAAATGAAAGGCAGAATTTACAAAAAAGTTATTAGACCAATAATGACTTACGCGGCAGAAACACGAGCTGACACAGAGAGCACAAAAAGGATGTTGGAAACAGCAGAGATGAAAAATGTAATTAAATATTAAACATCAAATATTATTAACAACAAGATGTACAATCTTTGTTAACCTTCCTTGTTTTAAAGGGGTTTTTCCATAATATTTTAGTGGCTTAGGCATGTTAACCTATAAGTATAACCATTTTGCTTTTTGAACCTTAGTCAAAATTTTTAACCACGTTTGCGTTAATTAAATGGTTTATGCTTATTTTAGGCATTTTTAACCTGATGATGGAATTATTATTCCAAAAACGTTCGTGTTATTTTATGTAGCCCTTTTAAGGGTTTTTTTTAAATATACCCATTTACAATGCTTTAACCTTTTTTGTGAAACGTGGTATACAGCCAGCTGCGTGAATTATTTTCCTTGTGGATTTTATGATAAAACAATTACATAGGTCGAATGATCACAAAGAATGTAGTAAAGACGGCAAGAGACAGTTCCCCAATAGAAAGACGATCAATAGGAAGACCACGAAAACCATTGAACGACAACTTTCTGGACGCACATTGGCACATAGACATGTCTACAAAATAAATGGGCTTATATAAAATCTAATATGGGCTTTTAAGTTACTTTGTACCGTTGGACCTGCAGATGCTTTGCAAAAAGCAGAAAGCGAAATCGATCGTTTTGGTAGTAAAATTAAATTGATTGTAGGTCTTATTTCATTTCTCATTACCTATTTAATAAATTAAACATTTTTAAGGAAAACCTGTTACTACTAAAGGTTTTAAACAGAAACTTGTTTAGTAGTTAAGTGTAGGTAAGTGTAGTTATTTCAAAATTTTGGGTTTTTAAAGCGGAAAGCAAATAAATAAAGTTACACAAATAAAATAGAACATTAATATACACTCACCGAAAACGTTTAAAACGTAACGAACAATCAAATACTGCAAGTTTAACATATTTTAAAATAAAACTTGAATCCCCTTTTTCTCCATTGTATAATGCTGTTAGTTAACTTCTTTATCTACTCAAGTCTTTAATCAAAACAGTCACACTTACCACACCATTTTCTGCAAAGTAACATCTCATGTAACATTTTAGCTTGGGATCTGGAATAAAATCTCCACTTTTTACTTTATCAATGATATCTAGAAAAGAAACAGAGTAGCTGTTAAAAACTTAAGTACCTTAGAGACCAGTTAAATAGCAAATTAGATATATTACTATAAACAAAGATATGAACATTAATATCTTATGCTGCATTCAATAAATTTGGTAACTATATCCTCCCGCATACATTTTCTTTAAACTTTCGAATCCGTGTCGTAAAATTCCTTATATAACCCCATTCTGATGTACAAAATTATGAGCTGATAACTAACCGAAAGATATGAATATGAATAATGAGAAATCTTAATGTGGTACTTAAAAGGTTACTCAGAATTTCGTGTTTAAATCACGTTACAAATTAAATGGTCCTAATAAGAGAATGAAAGGCTATAGAACACTTGGTTAAAAGCAACATTCACGGTTAAAAAAATATAAGAAACTGGTGCGACATATCTGATATTAGACCATTAATCAAAAGAAAGGAAGAGGGATCTCTGCATATTCAACAGCCAGCATTTAAACTTACTCTTCTTAAAATTGAACCCGTTTTCTCACTATTTTGTTTTGAATGTGTTAATTTTCCTTCCCGTTTACTTAATTTCATGGGCAATTGTATTTGCAAGTTCATTGCTTGTTATTCCTGTATGTGCTTTGACATAGAAGAGTTTAATGTTTTTACTTTGATTTTCTATAATTAACTTTAAACTGTTTTAATACTAAACTAGGATGTGTTTGAATTCCCCATTAAATTTTAAAGGACCAAAAATAATCTCAAAAATAATTGTATTTTGATAATCGGCTCATTGAAAATTTTCTAGTACTATTTGAATTGCTATTGCTTTAGATATGAAGATAGAGGAGTGTTTTTGTAGTTTTAACTTTTTGTGTAAGTTTAGTTTTATGAAGCTTTAACCTAGACCAGTTCCAATCTGTTTAACCGTTAACCCGAAACATAGCACTTTTATTGCCAATGTGAAACATATGGCCTATTGGACCAGTATAGGTAAAAATTGAAATAAATCAAAAACAAATATAGCATTTGAAGAGAAAAGCAAAATATTAAAGGGTTTATTAGGTAAAAACGAAGATAAAAACTTATTCATACATAATACTTAGATAAAACAAAATGTGTAATATAGAAAACAACATTATTAGGCGTAGTTAAGTAAACAAACATAATATATATTTCTAGATAGAACAAAAAATAAACTACAGTTACCTACTTATTTTGAAGACAGGTAACGCACACCTTTCTACTACACTCCAAACAAATAGCATGTGAGCAACGCACACATTTATAAGTTTGTCTTCCTCATTTTTGATGATTAACAAATGCTACACAATTTACAGGCCATTCGGGATTTATTCCCAAAAAATCTATATCTGCTTTCTAAGGTCTCGGAGAAGATTTGTTTCAAGTATTTGCCTTAGATGAGGCTGAATTAGTTCAAAGGCCAAATCTTTTACAAATTTAAAACATGGAAGTAATTTATTATCTTTGTAACAAAGACAAAGGATGTAACGGTTGACTGCACCTATATTTATAAGTGTATAAAATACGGCGAAGAGTCAACGCCTTGTACGGTGGTTTGCACTATAATTGGCACACTTCATGTCTAAAACATCAACTCCTATTTCATTGTCTTTGCTGTAATGCATAGAGGATAATAAACGAACAGCTTTGTTTTTTTTCGGTACATATGATATCAAGGTTATGTCATTGGAGAATCCATTGAGTGTTGTACCAATTTCCCTAATTTTATTAGCCTGGAAGTAAAAAGAAACTTCCCACTTATTTTTTTTACTGTACCCACATACGTGAGGTAGCGTGTTTGCAACTCTGTGACTAACTCTATTGAAGAAAAATAGTTGTCAGCTGTAATATTTCGGTTAGAGACCTCTATTAATTTGGATAGTCGAATGACACATTGAGCAGGCTTGGAAAGCTTTAGTTGTTCTTCTGAAAGTCCAATACTATCCGAATCTTTCCCTGAGTATATATATATATATATATATATATATATATCTATATATATATATATACAATTTATTGTGTTGGAATATCGGGTATGCGGTCTGTTATTATTAAAAAAAACTCTTTTTCTTTTAATCCTCTATATTTCGCTGATTTTTTGTCAGCTTCATCAGGAGACAACTAAAAATTTAAATAAAAGTTATATAAAAATCAGTTTAAATAAAAAGTGACTCACTTAGAGATTTAGAGTGGAAAGTATTTAAACAAGTTGTGACTTGTTCCAGAGTGTGTTGGCTTTTGATACCAATCTATATATATCTGGAAGATATTTAAACTTTTTTTCAAATCATCATACTCACCAAAAGTTTAATACAGTCATTGCAATGAAGAATAGGGTAAGGCATATTAGTAACGATAAATTCATAAACAAAAACTTAAATTTGCTGTTAAACATCTTTCAAAATAATGGATACCCAAAACATATCCTTAAAAAATTGATCTATAACTCTGACATTTTTGACGGTCCCACTGATATTATAGCAGTACAAACAACACAATATAAAAAACTACCATTAATAAAACAGTTAACACCTTCTGTGACTAGTTTATTTAAACAATTTACCAACATAAAAATTGTCCAATATAATTTATTAGAAAACCGACAACTGTTTTCTAAAGTAAAAGACAAGACACCATTTTTAAACAAAACTAATGTTATCTACAAACTGCCTTGTTTCGATTGCCAGAGCTGCTATGTTGGCCAAACTTCTCAATGGCTAAAACAAAGGGTCACCCAACACAAAAGTGACTGCACAAAACGGAAGAACACATGTGCGGCAGTTGACCATCACTTAAAAACTGGCCATCAATTTGATTACTCAAATGTCACTGTTTTACAGCAAGAAAATAATTACAAAAAAAGATTATTTTTGTAAAGGTGTCATATAAATAGAGAAAACTATGCAGTAAATTACAACGCAGACACGGGACAGTTGAGCAATATCTACTGTAATATTCTTAGTATGTCTAAATAATTTTTCTGTCAATAATTATATTTTAAATCACCCTGTATATTTTTAATGTGTAATTTTATTGTGTTTTAATTGTTTCGTTGTTTTTGTTTGCTCTCTTTTTATATTTTTACATTTAATTACTAGTGACCTAGGTACTTTTAACAAAAGCTGTCAGTACTGTTTTGAACAAATTATGTTCAACAACTTGTTTAAATACTTTTCACTCTAAATCTGTAAGTGAGTCACTTTTTATTTAAACTGATTTTTATACAACTTTTATTCAAATTTATAGTTGTCTCCTAATGAAGCTGACAAAAAATCAGCGAAATATAGAGGATTAAAAGAAAAAAGAGTTTTTTTTTAATAATAACAGACCGCATACCCGATATTCCAACACAATAAATTGTTTTTTACGTTTCGGTTGATAATCTTACCAGTTTTGCCATATATATATATATATATATATATATATATATATATATATATATATATATATATATATATATATATATATATATATATATATAAGAAATACTGGATATTAGTGACTGTCGATATAAACAAATAACACAGTTTATTAGGGTTGCAGTCAGAATCTTGGCCGGGATGTTAAAAAAACACTCTTTTGACTTTTTGTCGAGCTGTCGGAATGATTTTATTCCTTTTTCAAGACACTGTAAAAGACAATTATGTAAATATTTGAAAAATATCACAATTCTTCAGTGTAACTTACTAGTTGTTGAGATTATTTTTGTAAGCATTTACACTCAACATTTATACCACACATTAAAATATACAATTATGGACATAATATATCATAAAATTTTTAAAATTTGTTGTAAAAATAGTAAAACTTGATTGATGGCATGTTTTACTGGTGCATATTAACTCATACAGAGAATGGAAAGAAAAAAACAGTGTAATTAATGTGTAATTAGGTGTAATTGATGTTATCTTTCTTTACAAGAAATACTGGAGGCCCTTCTTAGGTGAATATACTTTTTAAACCTGTCTTAATGGTATGCAACATATTATACAGAGGTGTAAATTTTGTACTAGTATATATATATTATATATACATATATATATATTTATATATATATATATTATATATATTTATATATATATATATATATATATATATATAGTAAACTCTTAAATATTGGGGAAATCTGCAAGAAAAACTCTAATGAGTATCAATTGTTTCGCCGTACGTTTTCGCCAAAGAGAATTAATTTGGCTTCTTCAGGGCTGAAGGAGAATAAATTATAATTAGCTACCATAATATTATCTATTAAAAAACATTATTGGTCTTACCGTAACTAGAATTGTCGAGTTAGGATGTTATAAAACTTAGCTAGTAACAACATAGTAGTGTTTTTTGTTACTATGTGCAAAAAAAGTTTTTTTTAACGTAGGAAATGTATGGTAGCTTTGAACTTAAAACGCAAAGGTTTACCCAAGGTTAATCAAAAAACCCAATATAACTACATTTAAAGGAAGTAATTCTTTGAATTGTCGGCAATAACTAAATTTTTTATTGTTATAAAGTTTAAATGTATGGTTTTGTTTCCTCAGGACGCATGTGCTGACAATTCAAGTAGTTTTTTTAATATTTATGTCGTTAAGGTTCATTGGTAAAACCAAACGAAGTTAAATCCCAGTTTGGGGAAATATTATTTTAGAATTTTCTTAATTGAAATTCTTTTTTAATTATAGTATATTGTTCATGTATTATTATAATAATATCTTATTGAGATGTATCTAAGAAAAGCAAGGGAATGTTATCTTTTTTAGTTAATGAAAATTATTATTAAAGTGGGTTTACTTAAAAAGATTCCCTTGCATTTTATACTATTAAGAAGGTATTTAAAAGTACATTGCATGCGGCCTACACTGTTGCCGCCAGTAGCAGACATCCGTTTGCTGTGGTCCGTTAGACCAATGCTTCGGGTTAAGCGTTAATAACAAAAATGATACATGAATATTTGGATGAGATTTTAATGTGCACCATGACCTATGGGGCTCATATAAAATCAGTCAATCTGGT